TTTTTTCCTCTCATTTTAGTATTTTCTGCCGAGTTATTCGTGCAGTCGCCAATTACAGCCTTTTCCGCTATTCATATTTTTCGCTTTTAGAGAGCCGTCCTTCTGCGTAGTAGTCAGCCAAGGCTTAGTTTGTTTGGTTGGAGAAATAACGCGGATGAAAAGTTTTTCGAACTTGTTCATAACTATCTTGACACCTATCTACCAGGTTTGTAGTTCATCCTTTTGGACTTGAATCAAATATTGATACTGTTGTTCTAGGCAAAGATATACTCATCATGGATGCAAGATCTTATGCTGCAGCTTGGGCTAATCGAGCTAAAGGAGGAGGTTTTGAGCATCCAGGTGAGAAAGAATGAGATCCATTTCCTTTATTTATTTTCTTTTTTCCTAATTTTCATTTTCTGTTCAGTCGGAGTTTGCAATACATGTTTTGTTCTTTGTAATTAGTTCCATTTCAGAGTACTATCAGCGAACCCGCGTCGACTGGCTTGCTTTACCAAATATTCACAATGTTCGCTACTCATTCCATCAACTTCGTGCTCTTCTGTGCTCAGATCAGAATAAAACGGGCAATGCATATCATACGGTTTGTGAATTCTTCAAAGGTACAATTTCTTTGTTAATCACATTTGTCGTTTGCAGGCGTTAGATAGTACTTGCTGGCTGACGTACATAAAAGACCTCATCAATTCCGCCCAGAAATGTGTGGACACGCTTTTTGACGGTTGGTTGCATATTCTATCATAGGTTTTGAGTGAAGTAAAAAGTTGTCTGTTCCAGGGCAGTCTGTTCTCGTACATTGTTCTGACGGTTGGGATCGCACTACTCAGATTGTTTCTCTTGCGAAATTGTTGGGTGATGAGTACTACAGAACTGTTCAGGTGAGACATAAATCATTGCATCGACAAGGAAGTTTCTTTGTAGTGTTACGTGACATTCCTATCAGTGTGATTCGTGCCATTGGGGTGTAATTGTTTATCTATCTTTTTGGGTTAGTGTGTGCATCTAGATGTTCACGTACGATAGCAACTCGTACATTTATGATAGCTTACTCCATTCAGCTCCGTGCATTAAAGGCATTGCCCGGGTCCACTGAGGGGTAATGGGATCTTGACGGTCTTAGTGTCCGGCCTCTAACAAACTCAGTCCAATTCCCATCGAAAAAGGTAGATTCTGAAGCGAG